GCACCCCCCGGGCTGGAAAAACAAGCGAAGGCTGTTGCACCGCTGGGAAGCCCAGCAAAGCACTGGGCTCTGATGGGAAAAGCCTCCCAGCCCCCAGCCAGCTTGAGGGGGAGAGTGAAGGAGCCCAGCAGCGGTTCAGCAAGGCAGCACCCCCCGTTTGCATTGCACGGGCAGCCGCACGCCGCTCCCCTACCTCCGCTCTCGCCATGGCCCAGGTGAGGGGGGATGATGAGCACCCGCTTCTCCCCCACGCACATGTTGAGGAGGCCGGTGTTCAGGCCCTCGATCACCTTGTTGGCCCCCAGAGTCACCTCCTGGGGCTTCTCGTAGTCGTGGCTGCAGGAGGCACAGAGATGACCACACTGATGGCTGAGAAAGCTCCTCGGACCCATTGGGCAGCCCCGCCATGCCCTGAAATCCTGTGCCTTCCATCCGGCTGTGCCCCAAAACCCCACACCCTCCATCCTGCCATGCCCTGAAGTTCCACACCCTCCGCGCCACCACACCCCAAAGCCCTGCACCATCCGTCCCGCCGTGCCCCCAAATCCTGCACCCTCCACCCTGCTGCACAACCCCTGCTGCCACGCGGACGATGCTCTGGTGCTGCCCGCTGCAAAGAGCTGATGGTCCCAGCGCTGCTGCGGTGCCCATCTGCTCCCCAGCTCGGCGCCTGCCAGGATTTGGCCCTGTGAAGGAAAGGTGTGCTCAGGGCAGCCCGCAAGTGAGCAAGCACGCACGAGGAGAAGAGCTTGGTGCCATCCAGCAAGGAGCAGTTGTAGTGGTAGCGGATGAAGTCTCTGTCACGGGTGGTGACGTTGCAGCCCTCAGGACGGTACACGGTCTCGATCTCCACCGGGTCTGCGGGGTTGTGGAAGTCGATGATGTGGACGTCAAAGATGAGTACGGCTGAGCCAGGAATTTTGTTCCCTGGAAGAGGAGGATGAGGAGAGCTGCTGGGAGAGCTGCTGGAGCGCTGTGGGGCCAGTGAAGCCTTTCCCTGCTTCTTCCCATGCCCCATGACATGTCCGTCCCTCGGAGCCCTGCCTCTGCATGTGTTGGCGTCAGCCGTTCCCCTGCCCACAGTGCCCCCCCACAACACCCAGAGCCCTGGGGATGGTGGTGGCCCCCAGGGTGAGGAGCTGGCCCCGCTTCACCAGCACTTTCCCTATGTCAGACCTGCAGTGTGCTGGTGCACAGGGCTGGAGGAGGGGATGCCACAGCCCAGGGCTGCGCTGTGCAGGCGTGCCGGACCCCCGTGGGGCTGCCCTTTACCTGTTCCATTCTCCCCATAGGCCAGGTGTGGGGGGATGATGACCCGGCGCCTCTCTCCCATGCAGACCCCTTGCAAGCCCTGGTCCATGCCGGGGATGATGTAGCCCTTCCCAATGTAGGTGTTGTAGGTGTGATTGCGGGAGTAGCTGCAGCAAGAGAAGCCCCCAGCATCATCATGCAGGAGAGCCTGGTCCGTCAATTCCCCCCACCCAACCCTGCACCCCAACCTGCACCCCTTCTCCCAGCCTCTGCTGTGCTCCCCCTGGAGCCAAACCTTGCTCCTACGGATGCAGCAAACGGGTATTGTGTTTTTTAGCCTATTTCATGTCCGTTATCGCCCTCTCCTCCACCTCCTCTCCCAGCTGCTGAGCATGGGGCAAGAGAGGACACTGGGGGATCTCCCCACTCGGCCGCTTCCCTCCCCGCACCTGGAGTCGAAGAGCGTCCCGTCCATGAGCGTGCCGTTGTAGTGGTAGCGGACAAAGTCCCCGATCACAGCCCTGCGCTTGCAGGACTCCGGCATCTCCAGGTGCTCCAGGAAGATGCCGTCCTTAGGGTTGTGGAAGTCTACCAGCAGCACGCTGAACACCAGTGACGCCTGCGGTGGGATCACGGTCCCTGGGGAGGGGACACGGGTCAGCCCGGACAAGGGCTGATGCAGTGTGGGGAGCTCTGTGTAAAGCCGGGAGGGAAGGGGCTGGGCATGATGGGGTGATGCCTGACTCACCATAGCCCTTCTCCCCGTATGCAAGGAACGGGGGGATGATGATGCTCCTCTTCTCCCCGGCGCACATGCCCAGCAGCCCCTGGTCCATGCCCTTGATCAGCCAGCCAGTGCCCACGTAGGTGTCATAGGTGCTGTCCTTGCTGTAGCTGGTGGGGAGGAACGAGCAGGGGATGGCTCCAGGGGGGGCCATGCCAGCTCCCCCGGCCTGAGCAGTGCCGTGTGGGAGGCTGGTTTGGGGGTCACGGAGCTGCACTGGCCCTGCCGGGGTGTGGGGAGGGAGAGCACAGGGGAGGCTGCTCTGACTGGGGTGCAGCATGGGCCCCCATGTCCTGCCCCAGGCCAGTGTCCCCTGGTCCCTGCCACCCCCGGTGCCCCCAGCCCCAAGGTGGAGGGTGCATCCAAGCTCCAGTGCCCCGTGCCCCGAGGTGAGGGTGCATCCCAGTGCTGGTGCCCCGTACCTGGAGTCGAAGGGAGTGCCGTCCAGCAGCGTGCCATTGTAGTGGTACCGCACAAAGTCCGAGTTCTCCACCGTGCGGTTGCAGCGCTCCGGTTTGGACAGGGTGGTGATCTGCAGCTTGTCGTTCTTGTTCCAGATATCCAGCATCACGACGTCAAAGTACAAGGTGGCGTCTGGGGGGATCAGCCCCGCTAAAGGGGTGGCAGCGAGGACAGGGCGCCTTAGCTGGGACGAGCACGGGGACCAGACAGGCCAAGGGCTCTGTCCCCTTAAATCCCTCCCGAACCCGTGGCTGCTTAGGGCTGCTGGCCACACGTGGCAGGCCCTGGGAAAGCAGCAGAGTCCCTGGGGGTGGCAGGACCCCTCACTCCTGGGGAAGCCTTGCTTAGGCACCACTTGCCCTGGCAATGGAGCCGCCCTTCGCCAGCACCTGCCTGTCGGGCACTGGACCTCTGTCCCCGCTAATGCCGGCCCCGGGGGGTTTGCTCCCTCTGTCCCCCCGCCATGCCGCGGCCCCTTACCCACGCCAATGCTGCCGTAGCCCAGGTGGGGGGGCACGATGAGGTGACGCCGCTCATTCACACACATGCCCTGCAGCCCCCGGTCCATCCCGGTGATCAGCCGCCCGACGCCCACCACGCCGGCCACCGTGGCCCCTCGGTCATAGCTGGGGTGAAGGGACAGACCCATCAGTGGTGTGGCAAAGGGCGAAGCCCCCAAAGCTGCTGGTGCTGGGGGTGCTCAATGCCAGTGCCAAGGGCTCGGAGAGGATCCAGAGACAAACCATAAACCCTGCGAACTCCAAGGGATGGTGCAGGGCTCCTGGGTGTCTGCCTGTCACAGTGGCAGAGCCGAGGGATGGGGCTGCCCCCTCCCTGGGGGTGCAGGTAACCCACCACAGCCAGCGGGTCTCTCTGTGCTGCAGGCAGAGCCTACAGCTCAAAAACATTGATCCTGACAGGATCAATCCTGCACTGCCTGGGGTGGAGCTGCCTCCCACAGCACCAGTCAGGGCTCTGGACTGACCCTGCATGCCCAGCGCCCTGGAGGCAGGGGAATGTGGATCGGGCCCTCTGGGTGCAAAGGGGGCAGGTGATGCTTTCAGTTGGGACCGAACCCATCAACACCAGCCCCAGATTTCACCGGGTGAGCTGGGCTGGAGGCTGGCAGCTCCCAGGCTTTCTGCTGCTTCCAAATCATTTTGCATATGGCACATTTGGAGCTTTCTGCAGTGAGGAGGAAAGAAGACGTCCCAGGCCTCATTTTTAAACTGCAAATTTGTTTTTATTTTTGAATCTTAAAATACTCCAAGAAGCAACTGGGGCCATTTCAGATAAATTGAAATCCTTTGTCCCCTCTAATGTGCAGCTGATGCTTTCTCCTGGCAGCACACTGCAGTCCTCAGGACAAGGAATTATTTTAGCAGTGAATGTCCCCAGGCTCCCACTGCATTTGGGGTGTGCAGCAGCAGGGGCAGGGGCAGCGGACGGCTCAGTTACTTTCTCCCCCATTCATGCTTGCAAGAAAGATCACACCCCATTTAAGTGGAGCAGAATCCCTTTGCTTTCCAGGGCTCTGAAAAACGCCCATCTGGAAAGTTTTTGTTCCTACGTGGGGCTGAGCCCCAGCACAGCCCAGTTTGTTTCTGTCCCTTCGCTGTGTCCCTGATTCTCCCCCCTGCTCGCGGTGGTGCAAATCAAGGACTGCACCAACAGAAACACTCATTTATAGCCAGTGTGAGCGGAGCAGGATGGATGCAGGGGTCGAGCAAAACTATGCCCAGCCAGCGCGAAGCCTGCTAGGTAATGGACGGGTTTCGCGGCTGCCACGTTTCAAAGTGCTTTAAGTGTTTTCCCTGCCTGTGCAGCACATGCACATACATGTTCTTGAGTGCAAAACGTCTCACTTCGGGCCAAATCCTGTCCGTGCCCGAGACGGGCTTCCCCGTGCCCCGGAGCTGAGGGCTCTGCAGGCTCCCCCGGGTGGGGGGCTGCCGCAACCCCCCGGGCGGCAGCGCGGCTGCCCGGGCAGGGGCTGCAGCCCCGGGCGGGG